GAATATTTTGGAGAGGAAGTTGAATTGCGTAGATTTGATATGGCTGAAATCGCAGCTGCAACTAATAACTTTTCGCTTCCAAATAAGATTGGAGAAGGTGGATTTGGTAGTGTTTATAAGGTGAGGTTTGCTTTTCCTTGCTTAGCTAGGAAATTAATATGGTGATTTGAACTTCCATTTGTCTGCTAATGCTATTCTATCGGTGTAGGGTCTGTTATCTACAGGACAGAAAGTTACAGTTAAAAGGATTGCATCGAATAGATACGGAGGCCACACCAACTTTAAAAATGAAGTTCTTTGGCTTTCCAAAATTCACCATCGAAACATCATTAAAGTACTTGGATATTGCATTCATGGAGAAGAAAGGATAATTATATGTGATCTCATGGAGAACAAATCTCTAGATGCTCACCTATTTGGTTAGATTCTCCAGTCCTCCGAATTTTCTAATATTACACTGTAGATTCTGGAATATAATATTCTTACTTCTGCATTAACTAAATTCTGATCAAACATATATGAGCTAACTTAACTTGAAATGAGACAGGTGAAACGAGGCATGAACTTGGATGGACCACACGTTTCAAAATCATTATTGGTATTGCTCGTGGAGTTCTTTATCTTCACCAAGATTCAGGATTGAGAATTATTCACAGAGATATCAAAGCAAGTAGTATTTTACTTGACAGAGACATGAACCCTAAACTTTCAAATTTCGGTCTTGCTAGAAATTTAGAAGAATATCAAACTGAGACGGAAACCTCAAGGATTGTCGGGACATAGTAAGTATCAAGACAACCAAGTGTGCTTTTAATTCTACCTTTGTCTAAAGTAACATACTAATTTCTGTAATTTGTCTAATATTGGTATACAGTAGGTATATGTCTCCAGAATATGCCATGCATGGTATATTCTCAGTTAAGTCAGACGTGTTCAGTTTCGGAGTTTTTGTCCTAGAGATTGTGAGTGGAAGAAGAATTAATCATGCTTCTCCTGACCTTATTAAGTGTGTAAGTAAAGGAATCAACTTAAAGATTATCCTCGTAATACTTGATGTCACCAACTTGACACTAAGAAATGAGTCGTTTATATTTGGTATATGTTCAGGCCTGGACGACGTGGAACGAAGGAAAAGCATTAGAAATTTTAGATAAATCAATGAAGGACGAGTTTCCAGCTGATGAAGTATTAAGATGTATCCAAATTGGACTTTTTTGTGTCCAAGAACGACCAGTTGATCGACCAACAATGCAATCGGTGCTTGAGATGTTGGAAGGAGAAGTTCCGTCATTGCCAGAACCGTTACCACCTCCATATGTTGAAGATGAAACATATTCTGGATTGAAGACGAGCACTCACATCGACTCCACCAATGAGGTAACTATTACAGAGTTAGAGTGTCGATAGAAAGCATGTCTGCAAGACCGCAACCTTTTTGGTTCAATTTGAAGGTGTCTTTCATACGATTGCCAACAAAGAAACATCATTAACCTTATGAAGCTGTTTTATATTTGTATGCTACGCACAAACCATATAGTAGTTTTATGCGTGTATTCATATAAACACATTGGTAATATTTCTCAATCGCATTCTTTCTCTGAGTTTGAACAGTTGTGTTGTAATGACATTTGAATCCTGCATTTGAAGATAAGACTATTTATCTCTTACTTTGTTAAATTGTTTTTTATTATGCAATTTTCATCTGATAGACATCTTAAGTTCACTTGTAACAAATGTTAAGCTTGCATTTAAAG